CCCTTTGCCACTTACAGCAACAAAAAGAAAAACTGTGAATCCTCTAATAAAGGCGTAAAAGAACAGCGTTGACTCTTCCTTTTGTCTTCCACCAGTCGATGAAGCTGAAGCTGCAGCCCCCGTCGGGAACAGAACTGGCACCCTTTAACCCCATTCTACCTCCAGCCTCCATTACTCAGATCATGCTGCTGGCCAATCCAGCGAAGGTAGATTACAAAATAACACTTCCAGCTGCAACAATATACAAACAATACATAAACTATGCGGACAAAAGTGTTGGACTACACCGTTTTATCTTTGAATTTAGGTGTTTTAAGCAGTCTTTTTTACAAGTTGGTTATTCTAAATTTCAGTGTGGTGCTGTGATGGGTGTGACCACTGCAACAAGTCAGTTTCTGTTCCAGCATGACTATGCCCCAGTGTACAAAACAAAGTGCATAAAGGATCTGTTTGGTGATTGGCCAGCGGAGAATCCTGCCCCCTGAACACCTTTGGGATGAACTAGAGCAAAGATTGCCAAACAACATCATTGTCTCACATCACAGATACTCCAAAATCCTGTACAAAGTCTTCCCCTAAGAGTGGAAGCTGTTATAACTGCAAATCTATGCCTATGGATTTGGAATGGGATGCCCTAAAAGCTCCTGTACCTCTATAGGTAGCCCAACACTTTTGTCCAAATAGTGCATTTTCAGAGCTGCAAATCCTTCTGCAGGAGTGTGTATAATTTGCATGTTCTTTGCTTGTCCTCGCAGGATAAGGTGCGTCTGCGCTACAAGCTGGCTTTTACTCTCGGAGACCGCCCATGCAACGAGGTCGGAGAGGTTGACCAGTTCCCCCCTCCAGAGATGTGGGGTCATCTATAGCAGCGGCGGAGACCGGCTGCTCAGCAGGGACAGACTGGTTCATACTCCATGAAGGGGTGGGAGTGTGCGCATGTGCGTGTGTTCATATCCATCCCAGAGAGACCAGAGGGGGAACTTTTGTTATATTCTTCACTTCAGCTTTACATTCCTTACAATGGTTCATGTTTTGGACGTTGTTATTGCTGAGATGTTAAAAGCAATCACTAAAAGTTTTATTGATGACTGATGCAGTGCTTGCAGATAGCTAACACAGCAAAGATAGACACTGGTATGTAAGGCCTTGGTGCTTATAGGCTATTGACAGATATTTTAATGCATTTTCCCTAAGGGGAAATGGTTTGAAACTGCAATGAATAATGCATTAGAGACTTAAAATGTTGGGTTGATCACAACAAATATTTTAAAAGAAAATAACCTTGAAGTTAGCAGAGCCTGCGCTGCAGATGTGCTTCTATTTATTCGTGTTGCTGAACATTTATACTTGAATATATCTTGAGAGTTGAAGATTAGGCTGACATGAAGGATTCAGTCAGATATCATTGCTGCAGAAAGAGAAGAGGGGCGTGTGTTTTGGATTATTCTATGGATGGATTATGGATATGTGTGAGTAAATTGTGTTGCTAATGTAGCCCTATGCTAGGTTATGAAGGAAACGTTGCGCAGCAGCACTTAGATGGTAATGTGTAATTGCAGAAATGCAGTTAGGAGTCCAACACTGGTTTTATTTCATGTTTTCATTTTTAAGATAAATGATTCTCAGTTAGTGGTTGTCCATAGTTTGGTTTTGTATTATTAAACATGTTTACTCCCCTCCTACCAGGCTCAGTATTGGGAGTATTTCTGTCATAGTTATTTTCTGTTCCTGGTACGACAGTGGATCGCTAAACCCAACAAATGTGAACTGAACCAACCTGAATCTGAATCCAGAACGAAGCAGATTATTATCCAGTATGCAGTAGTGGGATGGAGTGAAACTGTACTTAGTCCTCTCCGACCCCTTTCACTTTCTGCACACCGAAGATGTGGATACATTTATATTTGTTTAGTGATCCACGCTGAGATCCCGATATGCCATCATCAGATTCAATAAGAAGAATCTGTGAACTGTCATCTACAGACCTCTTGGCAGATCTACCGGCTTTAAAATTTGGACTTTGCTACAAAAAAGGTCCTGCAGCCACGTCAGCCTGTTTTGCAATCGATAAGGTTACATTTTTTAAGTTATCTCAAAATTTCAACGTAATAACTCAAACTGCTGAAATTTAAACAAACTTCCGTAATATTTGGATGAAGTCACTTCTCTTTCAGGCCTGCTTCACAGAGGGTAGAGCAGATAATCTTGCTCTGTGGACTATAACCAGTGCATAGAGTGATTTACCAAATGCAATTTGGCAACTACAGTCTGTCAAGTGTTGATAGTGAAGAGTGACATTCATGTTGCTGCTGTAACATGTTTGATAGATGGTCGTCCATATGACAGGTTCACTAATCTGGGCTGAGGTATTACCAGGTTCTGTTAGTGGTCTTTGGGTTCACAGACATCTTCCTGCCCAAATTGTCATGTGGGAGGAGCTATTTCAAAACAGAATCCAGGTTGTTTCAGTTTTTCTTGTTTTACAGTAACCCGGGCCAGTATTATCCACGGACATCTCAAAGCTTTAAATATTTTTATATCCAGACTAAGAATTATGTTTTATCAAAGACTTCAGCTTTTTTTTTCCTGGCACGCAGTGCAAGTTTTCGGACCTTACATACGCTCTAAAACACAATTTAGACAATGTTTGATCCATTCATATTCCCACATCTCAACATAAAAAGGACCAACCAACCTACAATTTAAAGCACTACAATGAAGGCGCTGAATACTTGAGAGTTCATGATTTTATTCATTTAAAATGAACTCAGAACATTCAGGGGTCTGAACGCTTTGACTTCACTGCGTCCCATCTCTGATAGTCCTCTATTCATCATACTGGATGTACAGAAGTGTGTTTACTGTACATAGCATCTAATGTAATAATGTAATGTACCTGCTGTTTGGTGTATGACAACTTCTGTGAAAATGTGACTTGTAGATTTGGGGAGAGTGTTAGGACTGTATATATAAAGGTATGATGTGTCATTTCTTTGCTGCATGAAAAAAATAAAGTCTTCATGGATGTTTGATGTTCTGAAGTCATTTTGCTTGACAAACCATCTCCAAAAAGGTCAGATTTCAATGAGTATCATGAAGTGTTTTATTATCAAAGAGCACATTGTGATTAATGATTCTTTAATATATACAGTACAAAAATGCAAAGTCACACTTTTATGTTTCCACCGTTCCCTCTTTGACTATCGCTTGAGCCAGATTCCTGGCCAGAGCGAGTCTTAGGAGCTCCACTTTGGTCACCTCTACGTCTTCCTCCTGCAACGACAAAAACACTCAAAAAGATGAAGCAATTTAGTAAGACTTCCAGAGTGACATCTGCCTACATGTCATCTTAAAATTAAAACAGAGTGGTGATAGCAGCACCAAATATTAAACATGCGGTTAGAAGCTGCTATTAGAGAGCTTTTAGTCTGATTGTGTGGGAGGGAATAAGGCCATGTGAGGACATGCATACCTGCATAGGCCTGTCTGTGCTGGAAGCAGTGATGTTCAGGGAGGAGGTGAGCTCCTCTAAACAGAACATCAGCTCATAGGTTTGATCTGCTGTGAAGATCACCTGAGAAGAAGGAAATCACTGTTGTTGTAGGGCAGCAACAACTGATTCAGACGTACAACTCTGGTTACACCATAATTAGGACATCAAAGTTTATGTTGTTCAGTTTAAATCTGCACCATAGCAGTTTGGGGGACACTGTAGTTTATTGTGGTGGTATCATGCAGACTACAGTAGAAAATATCTCGGTCGTACATTTCAGTATCAGATTTCCTGTAATTATCACACTAATTTTGTCCAAAACTGGACTTGTTGCTGGTGACTAACCTCTTTCTGCTCCAGCAGTGGCAGAGCATCGGTCAGCAGAGTCATCCAGAAGCTTTGTGGAGCAATCTTTGCAGTCATCAGAGAGAGGAGCAGCTTTGCCGCCTCCCTGAAACGCTTCTCTCCGTACAGCTTGTGGAACTCGCGGTACTTTCCTGAGAAAGAACATAAAGCAGAGTTTTCACACTCAGATGTGCTCAAATTATCCAGGAGGTTTTGTGCATGTTCCTCCTCAGTTCACAAACAGCAATAATCTATAGGAACATATTTTATCTGTGTTTATCTCATATTTTTACTGATTTTTCAGTAGTAAAACGCACCATGGCATGCTGTTGCACTAAACAACAGGCCAGCTTTATTTAGACGTCTGTGTGCACATTTATGTGTCTGAGACTCATGTGAATTGAAGCTGGCCTGACTGAATGTCCCGTCACTTCATGTGTCGACTGAACTTGTGAGAATGACGCAGTGGCTGAGTCACAAGTGGAGCAGTGCTACTAATGCTCCAGCAAGTGTGTCTTCCCCGAGCATACCGAGAAAAGTCAGCCTGTCGCTAAGGAGCATCGCCGGGCCCAAGTTATCAATCAGGTCCAGATCAGAGAAGGTCCCTTTGGCACAGTAATCCTGTAGGAACCTAAAACACAAGTATACACATAAACACACCACAGAACCCATAACACAAACATTCAGAGGGCAGAAGGGTTTGTTGCTGTTTGATGGTATAGGAACATGTTCACAGTGGAAGCAGTACTAAACAGGAAGAGACCACACTTCCTGCTAAGGCCAATAGGGAGAGAGGGGGGTGAAGTAACAGTATCTGGGATCTTTACAATTATAATGAAAGAAACTAACCTCTCTGAAATCAGGGTGGCAAATGCAGCATCTTTGGCTCTTATACTCCATGAGAGAGCAGAGCCCAGCCTATTGTTCCTCAGAGCCCGCATAGCCATGATCTTACAAATACTCCGTACTGCATAAACCAAAAAAAAGAAAAAAAAAAAAGTATGTTTTAGGTTTTAGGTCTCTCCTGCACTGGAAAAACAAAAACAGCCTAATCTTTGTGTCTAAGAGTTAAGAAGCAACGTGTTACCTTGTTCTGACATTTGCCTCTGCTCACAAATCCTCAGCACCTTAAGAGCTTTACGCTCCGTCTCTAAAGGGACGCGCTCTATCTGAAGCTCCAGGTAGACACGACCAAACTCTGGACAGTGATCAAAGTAATCCACAGCCAACTGCCAAAGGCTAAACACAGAAAAACATGCTCAATCATGACAGTGATAACCTACACATCAGCTTACCCTGTACTAGGTCAATTAGAGGAAATGATTGTTTAATTAGATTAACAGGATAAAAACAACTGTTCCAAGAGCCACATTAGTCACACCCTGTGTAAATCTAAACAAAAGCAAATATATTATACATCATTACACTGAACCTTGGGATGAGCGTACCTGTGATGAGTGAAGAGACCAGAAGCATATTCTAGAAGGAGAAACTCTCTCAAGTTGGAGCCAAAGCTAAACACACACACACACACACACACACGTAAGGTGTGGTAAATATTGGCTAATGAAGTGTACAACCAAATTAAAAGGTAAACAAGTTCAAAAACAGACAATCGGCATCCTTACTGGAGATTATGAGACTGCAGGAGTTTGCAATGATCCAACAAATCTGTCAAATGGGCCACGAACCACCAGTTGTTGAGAGCAATGCTAAAAGGAAACAATTAAGGAAGTTTATGAACCACCACACATTTGTATGCTGCATGTAACACACACACATATGGCAGGATGCAAAAAAAAAAAAAAAAAAGTTGTCTTACCTGCACTCCTTGATGACTTGATGGATGTCAAACTCAAAGGCAGCAAGTAAGATGTTGTCCAGGGGCTCTGGGACGCTCCTCGAGTCCAGAAACATCGTCATGCACGACTGCAGTGCGCACACATACAAACAAGATACACAAACAATAAATCAGGGGCTGCTGCACATTTTTTACAATCACATTTCAAACTGTAAATCATAGAGCCACATGAACTGGTTGAAATTTGCGACAGACGATGTAACACGCAAATATTAAAAAAAAATTCTTCCACCACAGTATTTACAGGATATCTGACAAGGTTTTTAAAAAATGCAATACTTTTTAAGACTCAACCAGCAGTGATTCTAAAATGCTGAATGATGTGAGAATATGCTATACCTGAGCATAATAATGCAACTCTGTGGGTTTCACTGTGGGGTGGCAGAAGAGAAGTCTAGTGACCAGAAAGTGATACCAGGTACCCAGCAGCTCCTTGTGATCCAGCAAAGTGTCTTCATCTCCCAGAAGGATCTAAGGTGAAATGGGGTGGGGACATTTAAAATAAATAAATAAATAAAAACAATTGCCTAACTGTTGCTGGATGTTTGCACTGACCCTTCAATAATGAACTTATCCATGAATAACAGCACTTCCTCACTCACCTTGCAGATGAGCTCCAGATGTCGGTTGCTGGCGAACGAGTTGTCCTGCAGGCAGCGGTCCACCTCCTCGTGCCAGTGCCTCCACTTTACATCAAACTCTGTGAGCGTCTGAGTGCCACCAGGCTGAGGGAACATTACAGAAAATTCAGAGGTGTGAGTCAGCACGGGTTGGCTCATACGCTCATCTTGTGTGTAGGCTGCGTTAGAGAAATTGCTGCACTGAATGAACACAAACATGTTGTACTTAATCCCTTTACTGTCTGAATGATGTATGTGAAAGCAACAGAAACTTTAGCAAAGACGTTTTGAACAGATTTGTGGATTTTCATTTCACCACCAGCAAAATAAAGAGGCTTAAATTCATTTTAGTCTACAGCAGCACATTTGATGTTTGATACACTTTACCTTAAAGGAGACCATTTATTATTATTTTATATCATCATACTGTGTATTTGCAGCCTAGAGATAATTTCCTCTAATGTCACATCCACAGCCCATTAAGAAAACATTTAAAATAAAAAAAAATAAAATAAAAAAAAAAAAAAACACATTAAGAACCTGTGTGATTAATTTCTGACTGTAAAATTAACAGGGCACACTTTCACAATAATCCCATTTAGAAGCATGATTAAAAATAATTTCAGCTATCATTCAAAGGAAATAAACCACTGCATTTTTATCTTACATTGTAGAAGGGCATCTTGCTGAGCAAAGTATCCATCTGCTTGTACATGCTCCTGGCAGCAGGCTGTAGGTTGGCCTGTTTCACCAGCATCTGTCTGACTTCTTCCAACCTGCCCTGCAGCACATAACTCACCACCTGCACACACACACGCCATGTGATCACTCCCATCTCTCCAGACAATTCATATCAGACAAAACACAGATGAAGAAGCAAATGCAGAACACCAACAGTGCACATGTCACTTTAAAGATGTAACTGTGCGCACATGCTGCACCTACCACGTTCCAATAGTCGCGGTGCTCGGCAGGGCTCTCACTTTGGAGCACCTCACTGGCCCTCTCGTCCACGTCAGCCTTATGTAACCTTACCCAGTCCAGCAGGTGGAGCAACAGGGAGCCCGCTGAAAATACAGACACACCCATGTTGCACATACATTTGTTTGGGTGTTTCTCCAACCCCAAAATCTGGTCATAAGATGCGGATTCTAACCTGGAGCAGCATCGATGAACAGCACTTCACACAGATTCCAGATCAGTTCTATGGCCAAAAGAATGGACACCTTTAACAAAAAGCAGATCAGGGTCAGGATAGTGCAACTAAACAATGTAATGAAATGTATATCTGAGTAAAAAACTGAATGCGGATTCTTCCTCACTAACTGAGCATTAACTTCCCCTTTTAAATACAGGCCGTTTGATTGTGGTCATAAAACCCACAGAGCTGTGCCATGCTACTCAATTAAATCATGACGTAATTAGTCAATTACTGACTCAGAAACTCATACATGCTCTGTATGTGGACTAGTCCAGAGAAACAAACATTAGTACTTACCTGATTTCCACACTGCGTGCCCAACTCTGCATTTCTGGTAGAAACTGCAAAAAAGAAAAGTTGTTTTCTGAGCAATCACACACCTTTCCTGTGTTTTTATTGTATAAACAAGACTATAAAATAGAAATCTGAAAAACCTGCCAAAACTTTTATGGTTACATCAACTCAAAAGTTTTGCCAAAAGAAGCATATTTTCAAAAGAATTACCTGCAACTTGCTGAAGTTCCTCCATACAAGCACGGATCACGGATCGATAATTTTTGCTGATACTAACAAATCTAAGGAGTAAGGCAGAGGCAAAATTGTAAAACATACAATGTGGGTGCTGCTTTGTGTGACTTTTGCAACTATTGTTATGCCACTGATATGCAACCCAACAATATGAACAAACAGAGGTGGGATTGCATCACGCGCCCTTACTGGGGTTTTTTACTCTTGCTAGGGAGGTCCTCTCTAATTGTCTGCAGGCCAACGAAGATGTGGTGAGACTCGTTAAAAAGCTTGCGTAAAATGGGGGAATATATGTCCTCATCTTTCCTGATCTCATGGATGAATGAGCAACCTGATCCTGAAGCACCTGAAACAAAGGCAGGAGGTGAAAGAACAACAGTAATACTATAGTTATTGTCACTGCACATATACAACAAAATTTAAATGTCTGAAAAAAAATGGCTCAAAATATGTTTACTGAAAACATATTTGCACATCTCTAAAAGTAACCATAAAAACTATAGTGAAACACATCATACAGTGCTATGGAAAATAACCCCCCCCCCTTTCCTGATTGCTTATTTTTGTGTATATTTGTCACACTTACATGATCAGATAAATTTGAACACTAGACAAAGACAATGCCATTTTTAAATTATTTCATTTATTAGGAGGGGGAAAAAAGGTTATCCAAACCTAATTGTCCCAGGGTTAAGCATGTTTTTATCCCGTTACCTCTTGTGTAAATCTAACATAGCATTTCATAAAAGAACATCATATAAGCAGTCATACATGGTGGTGGTAGTGTGATGGTGTGGGGCTGCTTGATGAAACCATGCATTCTAATCACTCTATGATGATTTGAAACACACAAAAAGGTCCACCTCTGAATGTCTCACAAAAACCCAGATGTAAGGTTTTGGAGCGCAATTCTGGACTTAAATCCAATTGAGATGTATTAGAAAAACCTTAAACAAGTCGTTCACACTTGAAAACCCTACAATGTGGCTGAATTAAATCAATTCTGCCAAGATGAGTGGGTCACAGCGATGTGAAAGACTTGCTGCCAGTTATCACAAACGCTTGATTGCATTACTTGCTGCCAACGGTGGCACAGCCAGTTATTAAGTTTGGGGGGCAATTACCTTTTTAAAAAAAACAAACAAACAAAAACACAGAGCCAGATAGCGCTGAATACATTTTTCTGTTAATAAATGCAACTGTCATTTAAAAATTGCCTTTTATATTTAATCTGGTCATCTTTGTTCATCAAAAATCCAAATGTTTTTGATAATATGAAACATTAACGTGTGACAAACACTCAAAAAATAAGCCAGCAATGTAGCAGACATTTTACAGGCATTCACTAAACCATTCATTCTCTTAAAAAGAAAAAGAGATACAGAAGAAAACTGTGAAAGTATACATGGTGCCTTGTCCTAATTTTGAAGCATACCTGATGCTTTGTATCGTGTCTCATATACAAGAATATCACCAGGACCCCATGCAAATCCCATGTGCTTTCCATCACTGATTGCAGGGATATTCTGCAATTTAAAAAAAGAAGAAGAGAGAAACACTGTTACTACACTGAAAATAATGTGAATAACATGAAGAGGGTTAAAATTAAATGATTCCGTTTCATATTTAATTATAATATTATGTGAGAAGGTTGAGTGGTGACTGGGACATGGTCTAGCTATATTACTAACTCAAACTGTAATTAATGCTGCTAGTAATTCTAACTCATCTTCTTATAATGTTGCCACTTTTACACTTGTGACATGGCTGAGTGTGTGCCCCTTAACATTTCTTGACAACGTACAATATAAATATTCAAACGGGTCGTTGAAATAGGTGTTTGCCAAAGTTAGCCTGTTAGCAAAGCCATTTAGTGGCAATAAGGAATTAAAAACACTAAGCTACAATGGCTACTTACAGTAATAGTGGGCTCAACGTCTACCTCCTCCATATGGGAACAATATCATCGACACAGAAAAGACAACAATGGGAACTTTTTTGGCTATAAACACGCCATGAACTGCAAATGTGGACCGGTACTGCTTACGCGCCTCGCTCTTTCAGTCGAAAGTACCTGCTGCGCATGCGTTAAGATGTCACCGAAAGGGGTGCCCGTCTACCTGCCTGTTTTTCCGTCGGCTGAGCTTGACTCGGGATTTTGGATTTATCACGACAAATGCAGATAACACAGCTTATCACTAACCTTATAACTGCCTGCCCGGACTCACCTACGAGAGGTCATTACCAGCATTAAGAAGCTGGGTTTGTCTTTTTCTATCCACGAACATGTTATCCCCACTAATGTCTCCACTTGAATCTGTGAAGAATCTGTGCAGCTTTGCCCTGTACTCTTACAGTTTGAGTTCGTAAAGGCCACCATTGGTTCAGTACACCTACACATCACCATCAGGCAAAAACAAAAAAACAAGATGGCCACTGGTATTTAAAGGGTTAAAACGAAAAAGGAAATGGAAAAGTGCACATATGGCTCTCCCCATGCAGTGAGGATCATGTGTGGTGATGCTGACTGAACTATGCTGCACCCATGCGAGGTCAGCAGGGTGATAAGGAGTATTTAATGAGATAACCGCTTTTCTAAACCTGAAAACAAAAGGGAAAACATCGCTGTGCGCGTGCACGTGCATCTGCCTGCCTCTTTAACGCGCATTGTGACTCTCCCGCCCTTGCCCAGACTGCGCTTTCAACCTCGTGACTACTCGCTGTCCACTCAACGCTCGTTGAGGTGGACGCGCATGGGCGCGTGGCCGCGCACGTTCGGTTGTAATAGGCTAAACGGGCACGTGTACGTGCGCGTACTCGTGTTCTTTGTGTGGCAGTGTAGAGAAGCGCCAAAAGAGTGACCATGGCTGATGAAAAACCAAAGGTGAGTGTCTTCACAGTGGATTGAAATGCCAGTTTACTCCGCTTGATTTTTTTTGACACATGCGTGTGTAAAAATACGGTCATTTCCGCATGCTCCGCTGTGCCTTTTTGCAAAGTTACAAGCTGAAATTCAACTACTAGCTGTACCTACTTTGATAGACCGGAAGGTTTGTGAACGCGCATCCAATGGCGCGCGGACCTCTTTCTGCTTGATAACACACAGCCAACCAGCTGGTGTCATCCCCACTGCATGCCTCATTTCGCCAGTGTGTGTGTGTGTGTGTGTGTGTGTGTGTGTTTGCGTGCTTCCATGTGTGAATGGCTTGTGCCACTGTGGGAGAGTGTACCGGTGAAAATCTGTTGGTGCCACTGAAACTCTATGAATCATCACTGTGGTGATCTCGGGCTCACTCTGAGTCTGCAGGCGAAGCGAAAAGGGAGGACTTAAGATTTAAATTTTGTTTAAATCTGAGAAATAGTTTGTATACAGTATTGTGCAAAAGTCTTGAGCCATCCCTCATTACCCTCTGTTTTGCCTACTCAGTGGTTATAAGCAAGTTTTCCAGGTCTTTCGTGTTCTTTCCTATTTGAAAAACACATTTCTTTAACTGACTTTTTTATGCCACAAAAGGCTTAAAATTGTATTTTTGCACCAACGAAGTGATTCCCAAAGAGGTTTTGGGAAAAGACCTAGCATATCTCAGGACTGTGTGCAGTGTGTCCTTAAATTTTAGGAAATTGGACAAGTGGAGGACAAAAAAGGTTATAGACTTTAAGATGAAAAGATGATCAGCATCTGAAATTCATGCCCATAAGAAATGGGAAAAATTCGCCAAAGACCTGACACAGGACCTGAGGCATGCACCTGGACCTTCAGATGATCCATCTACTGTCCTCTGAAGCCTCATCAGAAATGGCTGTCAAGAAGCCATTTTCAAGGAAGAGGAACATGAGGAGAAAAAGCTGAAGTATCAAAATTAGACAAGAACTGGAGTGATGAGTTGAGATTTATAATTTTTTTGGTTTAAATTATCTATATGTACAGAGGAAGTCAAGAGAGAGATACAGCAGTGAGTGTTTACATCCATCTGTCAAACACAGTGGAGGCTCTGTCATGGTTTCGGTCTGCATTTCAGCCAATGGTGTTGGGGATCTTGTCACAGCTGATGGAAACACAGAAAAGTACCTCAGATTTTGATCCACCGTGTAATATCATCTGGCAAGCATCTGATTGGCAAAAAAGAAAAAACAAACAAACAGTGGAACACAATGTTTGGATTGGTCTCCCCAGAACCTGGACCTCAACATTATCGAAATAGTGTTGCATCATGTTGAAGGAGATAAGACCAAAAAGCACTCAACATCCAAAGAAGAGCTTTGAATGTCCTTCAAGAACCTTGGAGAACTGCTTAGACTACTTAAAAAATTACAAGAAGGCTTTCCTTGGAGAGTTCAGGCTGTGTTGGAACAATAAAGTCTGGTCATATCAAACATTAATTTTCAAGCTCATACTGTATTCTCAAGTATGTTTGCATGTTTCAATAAATTGCTGCAACTATTTGCCATTATCCTAACAAAATATAAGAAATGAGTGGTGGCTCAACACTTTTGCACAGCACTGTATATCTAAACAGTTTCAAAATATGCAAATTTGCAAAAGTCCTGGGGAATTTTACACCTTTGGGCTTATCAACCTTCCTTTTATGGATGCTGACATATCTTTCTGGCAGTTCCACATTGCGAAAGTGAAGTCAAACTCATAGCAGTGCTGCTTTTGTACTGCTCAGTCTTTTCCTACTGAAAATTGATCAAGAATCAATAAAGAATTAGCACAATTGATAATATCATGGATATTAATAAGCTCTTGCCAATATCCTTCCCTAGCCACCTGGTGAGCTGTTTAAGTCTGAATTCATTATTTCATCACGCTACTGCAAAATTAAAAGACCACCGGAGGCACTAAAGGGACTGAAATTACGCATGTAATAATAACAGAAAATACCGTGCAGCGCTTTCCCCCTGCAAACCTGTAACTACTGTGTTGTTCTGGTTAGTCAAAGTCTTTTTTTCTTTTTTTTTTGCTCCTTCACTGTGTTTCTATCTGTGCTTCTATCCCTCAGGAATCAGTGAAGACAGAAAACAATGAACACATAAACCTGAAGGTAGCGGGTCAGGATGGATCTGTAGTGCAGTTCAAGATCAAAAGACACACACCGCTCATCAAACTCATGAAGGCCTACTGCGAGAGACAGGTGATTATGGCCCCGAGGCATTACACTAACACTGATCATTTCCTGAGTGGGCATAGATCTTTATAAGCAGAGTGTAGCTACAGTTAAATAGACTTCTTGTTATTTTCTGTTCTCACCACATGAGGGGAACTCGACTTGAAGTATTATTTCCCCAGAAATATCTGTCGAGTGTTCCTCTGTACACCTCTGCTACTAATCATATATACACTTGATGTAATTGATAGTTAGCTGTTGGATTGTATTCTAAATAACATGTTTAGGTGTTATTAACAATAATCCTGCTTTCTTTTAATTGACCGTTTCCCTGCATCGCTGCACACCATTTACAGTTGGCAAAAAGACACAGGTGTATAAAATTGCATCTACTGGGAGAGTTGCCTACCCTCTGTGGAGCAAGGCTTGCAAGTGCTTACAGGTTATGCTGTTTCAACATCATAAGGAAATCATTACTGGAGTTACTTAATGTTTTAGAGGCCAGACTTTGAAGTTTGCACACAGTTAATTGTGTTTTACAACCGAATAGGATACAATTAAACCATTTACTTTCAATTCTTTGACACTTTTCACACATGCATTTAATGACTGCAGATTATATGTTTGTATTCTAGATGCCAAAACAAGCAGTTATGCCAGGGCATCTTAAAAATCCCATTTACCATAAAATATATGCAGGCATTTTAAAAAGAAGGTTTTCATAGGACTCTGTACGATCCTCTGGAAAACTAAGTACACCTTTACTACTTCAATAGGGATCAAGGGGACAAGTAGCAGCCAGGTGTTACTAATCAAGTACAAGTTGATTAGTAACTGATTATCAGCGCGTGTGAGCACCTCTATACAAGCAGAAATTTGTAGGTTGTAGATCTGGAGTATTCAGATGTGTGGTAACACAATGCCACAATCCCAGAAGTGGATCTACAGGCAAGTTCAGGTCAAGGTCAAACCTTGCAGTCCTGAGAGAAATAGCAAAATGACCCAAGAGCCTCAGTTAGAATGTTAAATATTAGAAAAAGACTGAACAAGTGTGACTTGTTTGGAAGGGTTACCAGGTTCTAAAAAGAACAACGCAGCAAAGTTGCTTCTGCACAAACAACAAGACATGTGGAACAATGTCCTTTGGACAGAGGAGAGCAAAGAAGAGATTTTTGGCCATAATGAACAAAGCGTTTGGTGAGAACCGAACACAGCATATCGGTACAAACACCTCATACCAACTATTAAGCACGGAGGTGGAGGGGTCATGATTTGGGTTTGTTTTTAAGCCACAGGCCGTTTGTCTGACAGCTAAAGCTTGGCCAAAATTAAATCCCGCAACAGGACAGTGATCCCAAGCACATCAGAAACTGGACAACAGAATGACTGAAAAAGAAAAGTTGCAATGACCCACTCAAAGTCCAGACCTCAGCCTGGTTTAAATGCTGTGGCAGGATAAATAAATGCTTGCAAACCTCAGTCACCTGGTAAATACTAATAAAAGTTACACAGAATATGATTCAGTTGGTTCTACAAGCTTGAATCATGGGGTGTTCTTATTAGTTAAATCGAATATTCCACTTGTTTGTAGATATGTACTGTTAGGCCAAATGTATGTGTGTTGGACAGAGAACATACTTAGCTGTCCTTGAGTCTCAAACACATTTAACAGACATATCACGTGCTAAACCATCCATCCATCAGACAGTAACTCATCACGGTTGTTGTTTCACTTTTCCTTGAAAAAGTTTCTATTGCAGTTCTTCTCTTCCTCCTCAAATGCAGTTAGGGTCTAGAGCTTTAATGCAAATACCACCTTGATAGCATAGCTTTAACGCTTTACGTGGTTCTTGCATCCTTTAAATGAACCTCCCTTATCGTCATCTGTGATTTCACAGTAATCGCAGAAGACATCTAATCTTTTCCTCCTGCTGTTATGGATTAGCTCAGATTTTGAGCTGTTCTCTGCCAAGCTACTTGCTGTAATGGCATGCAGGAATTTTGACTTTTGTATGAATTAGCACTGCACTGAGCATCACTCTGGTTCTCTATTAATTGCAGCTGTGTTTGCATTGCTACAAAAGCAATACCCAAGGTTTTCTAAAAGAGTTGTGCACAAAAGTAAAAAAAAATATGTAATAGAACACGAGGTCTGAGATCCTTTTTATTTGAAAGTCAAATAAGGGTTCAACTCTGTGGAAGAATGGAAACCCAATCACAGTGTTATCTGTTCATTGGACTCCCATCAGGGTAAAAGAGATGTTTGTCATACAGCTCTTTTTTTTTTTTTTTAAAGTACAGCCAGAACCAGATGGTTATCATTATTCCTTCATTTCTGCTTCACAGCAAGACATGTTTTTTTTTCTATGTCTTCCAAACCCCAGCCGCCTTATCTTCAGCATGAGCATATTATTGTCTGCATTTTTATTTTGCACACGTTAGCCTATACAGAGCTTCACATGAGATTAACAACAAGATTTTACACATTTCTCTTTTCAGGGACTGTCAATGAGGCAAATCAGGTTCAGATTTGACGGGCAGCCAATAAACGAGACAGACACACCAGCACAGGTAAGGCCGTGTCAATGATTTAAACATACTTCATGCACTTCCCATGATGATTAGTGCTTGGGATAACAGTATTTCTTAATAACCGTGGGCATTAGGGGGTTTCTCCAAGCTGAAAGATGTTCGTTCAAAGTCACAGTGCTGCCATGAGGAGCCTCGGGCTAATTTTAAGTTGTTTTTGAATATGTCGCTGTGCAGATGCCAGTTGTATTCACTGCAGTTTGTGGTTGGAGTAACCACAACTTGCATGTTATTGCAGTGCCATCCAACCTTGTCCACAGTGCAGCCTTCAAAGCCAAATACAGTGTGTCATTTTATTGTCACAGTGGTGCTATTTTGTGTATGCAAATGGGAAGTTTTTAATTTGTACAGGGCATACTGTCACCCTCTAGGTCAACAAATTAGCATCCTCCTTTTCCTCTTTGCAGTACAGATATTTTCCCTCACATCACCTTTTGCTTAAATTACTCAAACGTTATGAAATTCATGGGCTTATATGTTTTTGGTTTTTTTCCCCCCTTAACAGTTGGAAATGGAAGATGAAGATACGATCGATGTGTTTCAACAACAGACGGGCGGACGGATTTAATCGGCCACGTGCATCACCACTTTCTTCCTGGACACCACCAACTTTCCTGGCCTCTGAGGCACACAGCGCCTGCTTCTTCGCAGCTCGTCTCAACAGAATTCCACGCGGAAGAAGTTTCCCGTTTCTCTGCTACACATAACTGCTGTATATTTTCATTTGCGCCCCTTTTACTTTTCTGTCTTTGTACATAAGCCACATCCACATCACCCTGAGTTCAGATTTTGTTTTTCCATGCTGTATTGTGATAAGTGTTAAGGACTTCCCTTCCAGACTGTTAGGACTGGTGATAGAGCGAGCATTAAGTAAAACTGACTTTATTGATCAAAATCTGCTCAGCTGATCTTGGTCGGTGGCCAGCAAATCTGTTCTTAAAGTGTACAATTTTTGGAACTGGCTGTCACTTAGTGAACCATATGCCAAGTATGGGGATCACGGGATATGCTAACATTTGGGTTCTGTCATATTCACAAAACATATTTGATTTTTTACATTTTTTAAAAATAGTACTGGATGTGTAGAGGAATGTTCTGAGAAATCGTTTTTGCTAGGCCACTTCAAATTTTGGGAAGCCCTAAGAGATGTTCCAGCAAAATAAACATCTGTATTGTCTATTAAGATGCTTGTTGAAATAAAGCTATTGTCTTTTTCCAAACTTTCATCATATTTTTCTATTATTTAACAATATAATTGTGTGTGTGTGTGTGTGTGTGTGTGTGTGTTCTGCATGTTTGTTGCACTTAAATGTTTCAGATCATTCAGATTTTTTAAATTGATTTCTTTCATTAGGAGAACAAAGTTATCCAAACCTTTACTGCCCTGTGTGAAGAAGTAATTGACCCCTACACCTAATAAACGGTTGAGCCACCAGTGACAACAAGAACTGCAATCAAATGTTTGCATAAAGTAGCGATCGACTTTGACTAGCCCACACCAAAACCTTCATTTTGTGTTTTTAAGCTATTCAGAGGAGGACTTGCTGGTGCGTTTAGATCAGTGTCCAAAACAAAACGAGTTTCATGGCACAAACTGATGGTTTTGCATGATTTTCTGGTAGAGCAGATTTTTTTTCGTAAGGATTTTTATTCATCTTTAGGCATGAAAAAAAAGTCTTTTGAACTTCATTTTTTAAACATGTACTTTTCAAAGCGTTTGTTACACGTCCACTTAGGTGGACAACATAGGTTTTGACTTATGAGTTTGGTATGGAGTGACACATCAGTGTCCAATGAGGTGGTTTATGTGCAAACATACCATCAACACTGACAAAAATACAAGAAAACAGCCTTTGAATACCTGTTCACTGTGGTGACCACTATGCGTGAAAGGGTTAAAGCAGCAAAGCAGCCACCATTGTTGGTAGATGTTATTTTTAAAAAAACAAAAACGTGTTAGTTTTATCTTCAAAAACCTTCATCAGTCCAGAGGATATGTTCTCAAATCTTGAGATGTTTTTGGCAAATGTGAGAGGAGCCTTTGTGACTTTTTTGGTCAGCAGTGATTTTCTCCTTGAACTCTCCCATAGATGCTATTTTTGCCCAGTCTCCTTCTTATTGTTGAATCATGAACTCTGACCTTAATTGAGGTTAGTGATGCCTCTAGCTCTTTAGATGCTGTTCTGGGTCCTTTTTTGATCTCTTGGATGAGGGATTGATCCGCTCTTGGGGGAATTTTGGTAAGTGGGACCACTGCTATGAACATTCATCACTGTTCCAAGTTTTCTACATTTGTGAATAATGGCTTTCACCGTGGTTTGCTGAAGTCCCAAAGCCTCAGAAATGGCTTTGTAGCCCTTTCCAGACTGACAGAGTGAGACAGTGACTTTATTTCTCAGCTGTTTCTTTAGACTGTAACACAATTTGTTGCTCTTTGAGATCTTTTGGCCTACTTCACTTTGTCAGACAGGTTCTGTTTAAGTGATTAATTGATTCAGCAAGTGTGGCAGTAAATTGGGTGTGTCTTAATAAATTAAACTCAGTTTTCCAAAACATTTGGTAAATTGTAGTTATTCATGTTTTAATACATAGGCTAAGTAGGTTTTCGTAACTTTTTCCCTTAACAAATGAAGTCATGATTTAAAAACTACAGTTTGTATTTACTCGGGCTATCTTTGATTTAAACTTATCTGAATACCTGAAACATGTAAGTGTAAATAATATTTAAGAAATCGGGAAAGGGGCAAATATTTTTACGATGCACTGTAATTATGATCTTAATGAGCCAGTAAGTTAAATGGGAAGTTAAGAAAGAAGTTGAAAGTGTACCAATTTTCTAACTTTATTCTTTAAAATAATTTTGCAGATTGCCGCAATCAGCGCTATTAAATGAAAACGGGGGGAAAAAAGAGCCCTCGGGGTAGTGGTCTCTTCTGTCCGATCCCTCACAGGAACCCGAGACCTGCCACCAACAAGATATCCGACTGCTAAAGTTCTATCCAATGAGAGGCGAGTTCTGTACCGTTCTGTCCAATCACAACGTGTCTAATACTGGTGGGTTGGGTCTGGTGGGCTGGCACCGCAGAACCAGCGGATCTGTTCTTCGTTATGTTTTTCAGTGTCGGGTGGAGTCTACATCCCGTCGCATCCCTGCGGGCAAGGAGGAGGATTTATCCCCCCCACCATTACTTTTTTATTTGACTGTTTCTTACTGCCAGAGATCGAAATACTCCAAAAAAGATGACGACGACAACCACCTTTCAAGGAGTGGACCCTGGTGCTAAAAGTAGTTCCAGGTAAAAAGGAGCCGAAAGCCTTTTCACGGAGGAACAAAAGAAGTAGGATGCGGGCAAAGCCTCTCAGCTAGCAAACGCCTCTTTTATTCGTTTTTGCTCAAAGACAGCTTGCTACAGAATATCACAGGCTGTGTTAGCCCGGTGGTGGTTGGCGAGGGATTTTTCTGGATTTAGCTAAACTGTCACATAGTCTAGCTAATTAAGATAATCTTATTGGGTGTCTGATGCACCATACCCTTTAGCTACATGAAGTTAGTGAGGTTAGCATGCCTGGGTTTCGGAAACAAATTGCTCGACAGGATCTTTTCCACATTTCTGTATAAGGAGAAGTGGACAAAGCTGCCTAAGCCTAACGTCAGCTCCCTGCTGGCTGCTCTAGACTGCGAAATAACTTTTTTTTAATAGTTCAAGTCACCACTTTTTTTCCTTCCTTCCTTCTATGGAAAGAAAGATCTGTGAGTGTGCTGCTCTTGGAGTTGTTAACGTCTTGTTAACTTGTTCTTTTTTGTTGCATTTTATCTAACAAAACAAAAAGAAAGAAAGAAAAGAAACAATAGAGTCCATTTGATTGATTACAGGAAAGGTCCCAGACTAGACCGCGGTCTGCTTATGTCATTATCTCTTGGATTTTGGTTCAAGGAAGTTTTAGGGAAACTCATTAACGGGGTCGCGAGCCTGATGCCCGGTTTTACACTCAGTTTAAGAGTCATCCTCCAAGCATGCGCTGAGTCTTTTCCTGTAAGTGATGATGCGTGTCGGCTTCGTGCATTCCTCCCTTTTTTCCTTTTTCTCTTTTTTCTTACAGGGAAGAGTGCAAACCTTAAAATTATGGCCGCCTTTATAATGAGGCATGATTTAAGGGCGTGCTAGAGATTTTTATACTGCCACTGTTAGCCCTTGCTGAGTCTGAGTGAGCATGTCAAATGTCGGTCAGTCCGCATGCTGCTTTCGGATGATGCAGGGGGCTTGGGTGGGGGCTCTGAGCTAGCTAAGCCTGTAAATCTTTCCTTAGCTCTTCTGCCTTTTCCCCCTTAAAGTCCCCTTTAGCGAGCTGCTGGTCATTTCTGCTTCTGGAGGACCAAGTAGATCAGTAGAGCAGCAGCTTGAATTAGGCTAAAATCAAAGGCCTCCTATCCTGCCTTATCAGACATGCCATCTTTGGCTCTGGACCTTAGCAGTATCCTACCCAGCTTCACCTGCCTTAAAGTGGCCCAAGGCTTCCAAACATGACTGCCATTTCACACATGTTATTTGCAGGTTCATTCTAGGGTGGGGTCTGCTGCCAGCCAGCTCAAAGCTTTCCCCCACCGTCGCAATCTGTGTGTGTATGTGGAAAGCATGAGCTCATCCTCTCTGGCCGGGAGGTGAAGTCTGGTTTAGGCATTATATGTTGTCACAGCCAAGAATTAAATGTGCAAATTCACGTTGTTGCATACTGGGCTGTGTGCGATATGTTTTTTTCCCCCCCTCGTCTTGGTTGCTTTCTTTGTAGCTGTGCTTCAAGAGCAGAGTTGTTTTTTTTGACTCCCATCTGCCTGCCTGGCCCTCGGACAGCTGCTCGGTGTGTCAGCTGGTGACTTCAGGGGGCTTCAGGAGAGGAGAGTTTGCTGGTGGAAAAAAAAAAAAGAGGGAGGGGTCCAGCAGTGGCTCTGCAAGCACATCGGTGTCTGTCGTCCACCCCAGCTGCCCTTGAGCACAGCGAGGAGAAAAAGGGTTTCCCTTCTCGCTGTTAAATTCCTTTTGTTCGGTTCATGGTGGCAGAAAGTCTGTGGAAAGTAGGCTTTGTTTGTCATCTGTGTATCTGGATCCTGGCTTTCTGTGCTGTTCTAGAACAGTCCCAATATTACGTGACCTATATTTAGCGTAAACCTCAGACCTTTCACTTCCATTGTGCGATTGTGACCAAAATAAATATCAGGTTTGATGAATAAATGCGATAATTGTGTAATTATTCCCCCTAGAAACAGACACAAGCCCTCATATGTCACTGCAAAGGAATCTGCGCTGAAGAGAGGCAGCAGCTAGCCAGCTAACTCTGTGATTATGTGCGACTGGAGTCAGCTGCAGGGCAGAGATTGGGACTGTCTGTCTGACAGGCTGACAGCCGGGGCTTAGAGAGTGGGGGGACCTTGCTGGTATCTCTCATGGGGTTTTTTTTCCTTTCTTTCTTGTGTGGTATGTTTATAAAAGATTTAGGGTGGAGTAGAGAGAAGGTTGCATGTAGCTTGGGGCTACCTCATGTTTTATTTCACTATTGATTTTATCTTTTTTTTTTTTTTCTGTTTTTGCGCCGTGCATCTGATCAGTGGTTTGTGACGTGAAGGCCTTGTTTCAGTTTGAAGCGAGAGGTTATGGAGCGGGAGGGGGGGGAGAGATAGGGGCATGGTGGGCGGGGTGTCATTCCAGCTGACGTCAAAATTGTGTCATTTTGTTGCTTCAAAGGGTACTACGACCGCCGGGTGGGGACTCCAGCTTCTCCTTTGGCACAGATGACAACACAACGCCCCAGCGCAAGAACAAGATGGCCTCCAGCATCTTTGCAGAACCTGATGACCCTCACGCTCATCGGAGGAACAATCCACCTAGTAATTCACTCTAACATTTATTTCTTGATTGATGGAATATCCATGTGACTGTATCAGGGCTGAAATCAAGTTTTACAGGTTTGATTTACACGAAACTGTGGTTTTACATCAGGGAGCTTGTATAAACACACACGAAGAGCAAGTTCTATCTTGCAAAAGCAGACAGATCTACCAGAAGCCTTAAGTAAGTAAAAAAAACCAAAAAACCCCAACACACCATGAAAGTAATTGTTCTAACTTGAGCTAGGAACAGATAGAGATCCCAAATTTTTCCGTTTGGGTTGTCAGAAAGAGCATCCCACAAGAGTAATAGCACAGAAAAAGAGAAAAATCCCCAGAGTAC